ACATCGCTGTATTTGCTCTGTTGTTGGTCTGTGCCTCGGCTGATGGTAAGTATCACACTTTTTTTCACTATATTTAAATATGCAGATGAACCTTTGTTCTTATTTAGAAATGAGTCATTGTTGAGTCTGCAGCTTCATCTTTGGAGATTTTATAAAAACAAAAAATATTACTTCCTCAAAAAGGTCAGTAGACAGCAAAAAGTTCCAGAGTGCAAACCAAAGACCTAAGACTGATAAATCCAAATAGTCATCAACGAATGATTCTTTCATTTATGATTATTATGTAGATATGATGTTTAAAATCTGTGAGGAGAAATTTGTGGGTAATGTTAAATATGTTAGTTTACTGATGCGAAATTTACTAACAAAATAGAAAAGCAAGCCCTGCATGAATTAATGCTGGATTTTACCCTAAGTGTAAGCTTGTTGGTTTTTATGAAATTGAAATGTCATCAAGTCTAATTTACAGAAAGAGCTGATCACAAAGAGGTTTATAATTTTCCATGAAATCTAAATTATAACATTTATGATTGTGAAAATATTAGGATCTGCTGACATCAATTTCTGGTAAGAAAAACCTTAATTCATGTCATTGTAGTGTACAAAAAAAATAGTCTGAAATGGTGAGGCACTCTAATTAAAACAAACATGCCCAGATCTGGTTCTTCTAGCAAGTTATAAAAGCAATCTGCAAATTGATAAATGAAATCTAGCATAACTATAAAAATATCACAACAGAATCTCAAAAGGGCTTTTAACTGTTAATTTGATATTACAGGTCTCTCTAGGAAAAATATAAAACCAAGACCAACTTTTGCTGCAAAGTGTTTTAGTAAAGACTTAGAAGGTGTTCTTTGGACAGAGAAGTCAAAAACCGCAGTTTTCAAATTAATGTTTCTGGGGTCTTTGACATTAAAGCTTCTGTGTCGTATAAAGAAATCCACAATCCATCCTTAAACCTCATAATAGCAATTCCCATGTATTTTTCTTGTCTTTGCAGAGTCTCATTACTCCTTTTCGCCGTCTGTGGGATATGGAGGGGGCTCCTCGTACAGCGTCACCGGGGTGGGCAGAATCACAGCTGTTAGAGTGTGGGATCTCTACAACAACTACATCTATGGGTGAATTTTAGAAAGTTATGGTCAGATACAAAACAGATAGAAATAAAGATGTTTAAACAAATGGAGTTTAAAAAGTCTATTATTTATGTTATTATGACTATTGTCTGTGACTTGAAGGTACATAAATATGTTATTCCTACACAATATAAAAAAACTAATATCACACCTCACTTCCTATTTTTTTAGCTTCCAGCTTCAGTACGAGGGGGTTTGGAGTCCTGTCGTTGGCTACGTATCTGGTGCACCTAATGAGTTGGAGCTATTTAAGGATGAAAGAATCATCCAGATCTCTGGGAAGTACAATCACTACCTTCAGTCGCTGATCTTTGTCACCGATAAGGGCCGCTCCCTGCATGTTGGTCAGCCCACAGGCCACACCTTCAACATGTATCCTACCCACCCAGACGCCGAGCTGCGCTTCCTTAGCGGCAGGGTTCATGGACCTCCCACTTCCCTCCAGGCCCACTGGGCTATCCTCAATGCTGACAGCAGTGAGCATCATTAAGCAATGGTGAAGAAAATCTGCTGATAAATAGAGGCCATCTTTTAATTTGCATTTTTCTCTACCGTTTTTACCCTTTCTTCACTTTTTGAATTAGACTATGATTCATTTTTGTCTTTTTGGTAAAACTGTTAACCATTTATTCAAGTTTTGCTTAAAATCTGTTTTAATAGCATGGGAATTCCATTTTCTGTTCTTTTTTTCTTTTTTTTCTTTGTGCTTTACCAATATAGTTCTGGGAATAGATATGCCAGAGCTAGATAACGGCCCAACAGATTGTTTTTTTCACAATCAGATCATTATGTTTGTTGTATTAAGGTTCTGTTTTGTACGTTTATATGTAACTTCATTGATAATTTAGGGAATAAAAATAGAACAGACACAGAGACTGAAAGGAAGAGGGTATAAGAATTAAGGGGAGAGAGAGTAAGAGGAAAGAGGGAAGATTAAATGGAAAAGAGAAAAAACAAAACAACATACAAAACAGATATACAGTAGCTCCTAGAAGTCTGATTCCACATGTGCATGAGATGAGAGGGAAAGAAAACATAGAGCAAAGCATAAGGAAAACTAAAACAAAAGACAATCAAAATAAACATCTAAATAGCTTCTAGAGCAACAATTATCCCATAGATACCCAGTCAGCATATGTTTGTGTGAAAAGCAAAGCCTGTGGTGATTATACAATGTCATACAGGGTTGTATGTATTTGTAGTTGCAGCTTAGTATTTAGCATCAGCATGTATCTATGAGCATCTGGCACAAAACTCTTTGCTGTGCAGCCTCCAAAATTAATAGATTTTGGTTTCAATAAAAATATTAATCTACCTTATTTTGTTTTTTATTTTAAGAAAAATTGTATTAACCCTAAGTATTATAGAAGGGTATGGCATATGTGTGATAGGTTAGTGAAGATTATCTCCTTCCATGTTTGTTTATTCGAACTATAGTTTCATCTAAATCATGTTTTTTTCTTTCTTGTAAAATTTGATAAAAATAATCTGATAATAAATAAACATAATCATATTCCAGGCTTGGTTTCCTTTTCATGCACATAAACTTGGCTGTATATACTGTATATACTTAAAAGTATACTCAAAAGACCCCCTAAATAAATAAATAATAATCTACCATACCAAGTGTCCTCTAATTAGTTAGAAGCACAAATCAGAAGGTTGACTATGACAATGTATTCGAAAACATTTGAGCTACTTTGATTAGCTAATTATCTATGTTTTTATGTCATTCACTTATTAAACTATTATTAAACTATTCAGTCATGTCACTTTAGTTATTAAAGACAAACCCAATGAGATAAATTTGAGTTGACCCATATTTGTAACATCCATCCATCCATCTATCCATCCGTCTGTCCATCCGTCCGTCCATCCGTCTGTCTGTCCGTCCATCCGTCTGTCTGTCCGTCCGACCCTCAGTTCACGAGGGTAGCAGCTTCAGAAGGGAGGCACACGGGTCCCTCTCCTCAGCAACTTGGGCCAGCTACTTCAGGGGAAACTCAAGGTGTTCCCAGGCCAGCCGAGAAACATAGTCCCTCCAGTGTGTCCTGGGTCTCCCTCTGGGTCTCTTCCTGGTGGAACATGCCCGGAACAGAGAGGAAAACTAACCATATATGCTCACTTTAATACCTACAGAAAACACTTAACCTTGTTTTCGACATTTGGTAGAAAGACAGAATGCAGAGAAAGACCCACAGATGAATGGGATTAGATAAAAAAAAAATTACACCTGTGGAAACGGGGCCTAGATTTCAAATTGCAGCCTTTTACTGTAGCTGGGAAAGAAAATATAACCACTTACCTGTATGTCAGATAATATTTAAAGTATGTGGGAAATATGAACCCATGATTGTCATATTCTTCCTGCAAAGCAGTCCTGGGTGCTGGGGATGTTATGGCGTTTAATGACCTCTTCTAAAAATGAAAGATTTGTGAGTTTTGTTTATAGTTTGACCCATATGCAGAATCACATGAACAGTCAAATTTTAACTTTTAAGATTTTATTTATAAAAGCAATAAGAATCTGGAAGCAGAGAACTACAGGAAGTCAGTTGAAATTTCTAGTTGGTCTGAGAGAAGATAGCAGGCTGATCAGGAAGGAGTTGGTTGATGACTACTCATGACTGATGGATTTGCTTACTTGAGAGATGAAGGGGTGGTAGTATGGATCTGTAGGGGTTTGATTCAGCGGGCTTTGGAGACTGTACCCCAGAAGTCCAGGAAAATGTGAGAGAGATCTAAGCGCATTGGTGCTACAACAGACGTCGTGCTGGAGAGCGTGAAGGCAGATGATGAAGACTGAGAACTGCTGCACACAGGTAAGATCTTTTCCTTGAGAATCAGAGGCGGACTGAGGTTCACTGGTTGAATGTTAAAGAGATTCACAAGAAAACAGATTTCAACAAGAAAGATATTCCTGGTTTAGGTCTTTGGCTGTAATACCATCAGGGGTAATTATACGGAGAAGAGAGATGATCCTTCAACTCCTTATAAACAAGCTAGTCATCTTGATTAAGAAATGTTCTCAGTGTACAGCAGCACTACAAAGATCCTCTCTATGACAGGAAGCTCTATTACAATAGAAAAACAAAAAACAAAGACCCTGACAAGATATGTCATTGGAAGCAACCTCAGTGGAGAGCGATAGTATGACTCCCTCTAGAGACTTCAGAATGGCCCGACCTTCCCAGATGAGCACCTTTTTGAAGTAGCTTGGGTTAGCTGCTTAATCCAGAGTTACCAAGCAACCAAACCAGCTGAACTGCAACAAATACTGTTTAGATCAATAAGGCGGACAGTCCCAGGCTGCCTACTCAGCTCTGCTAATAGATCCAAAGTTGTATTTGCTCAACATCTGTGGCACCAAAATAAAAAAGCAGTGAAAAATTCCAACTCTATAAACATTGGATGTCCTCTTTTAATCCTAGTGCTCTAAACAGACAGCCCTTAATAGTATTATTATACAATGCCATAGGAGTGACTGTCTCTGTAGGAGTACAATGCATACCTTCAACCCAAAAGACATGTAAGACAATACTTTTCCCATAATATTCATCAACAGGCGCAACCAGGAAATAGATCATTCATCTGCAATTAACCTAATAATTAGCCTAAGGGCAGTCACACTGGATTAAAAGCCGCTGCTAATGCTGACTGTGTGAGACAAGAAAGAAGAAGAGAGTCAGACACAAACGCTAACAGCTTGAACTTCTTTGACGGATTTTAATGCGACAGATAAAAGAAATTGTGAGTATCTCATTATTTCAGTTTTGCTGATCATCATGGTTGGTAAGGACTGGATATTTTGTTCAGGTAAATATCATTAGTGCTTCTAAAAAAGGATCAATAGTGCTAACTTGTACTACTATTTCCTCTTCAGGTTTACTTTACTACTCTTGCACAGACATGTAAGAACATTTTTTTTTCTTACTCTTTAAAATAAGTAAATGAAGTGCTGTTTAACAAAATAGTCTAAAAACTTTTGAACTCATTTCACAGAATGCTGTACATCGCTGTCTTTGCTCTACTGGGGGCCTGTGCCTTGGCTGATAGTAAGTGTGTAATTAGCACTGAACTGCACTATTTTGATGTGTTTTTGATGTGTTCCTTGGATAAATCTATAATATCTCTGTGATGCTAAGCAGTCTTACTGCAGCTTTTTTTTTTAACTAGAGTGTATTTTAAGTTAATCAGAGCAATGAACGACATGGAGTCATTACTTGAATGAATTAAGCTGACAAAAGGCATATTTATGTAGATAAACTTCACTTTAAGTTCATGCTTGATTCAACCATTAAAGAAGAGGTTTATTTTAATTACTGAATGAGAGTAAACAGAGGTCAACAGTCCAAAGAGATAGTAATATTTTCCATTAATGTCCTCTGGAAACGATAGGGATCAATTTTCTACCACAAGAGGATGTGTGGGAAGTTCACCTCAAATTGAACATCATTTTCAAATGCAAACAGACATAAACAATAAGTTGAGCGAATGTAGATACAATTTTGGTAATTTTATGAAATGTCTAAGCAAACAGAGAACTGAAGATAAAGGAAGATTTGGTTGGCATCAATTTAGATTAAATAGCAGCGAGTCAGAGTGAGCAGCACCTGTGATGGAGGGGAGTCACATTAACTCTATGGAAATTAAAACGAATGTGACTCAGCTGCAGCAAAAACTTAGGTTACACCTATGTCACCTGATTGACTTTATAATTTTTATAATCTTGGTTTTGTTTGTGATGTTTATAAATAAATCAATATTTTTTTCACCTTTTTTCTTCAGACTCCCATTACTCCTTTTCTGAGTCTGTAGGAACAGGAGGCGGCTCCTCATTCAGCGTCACAGGGGAGGGAAGAATCACAGCCATTAGAGTGTGGGAGCTCTACAACACCTACATCTACGGGTGAATGTTTTATATTTTAAATTAACCCGTAGAGAAATAGAAAATGATGGTTTCAACCAGGGACCATTAAGGTTCTGTGGCCTAGGGATGCAAATATACAACTGCAATACAAAAAGTACAGCAGAGACAAAATTTAAGTTGTCAAAAAAAAATTGAAGTGCATAAAACTTATCCAAAGGAAAACCGCTGCTGAGGAGAAATGCTGCAATCACAAAAAACAGAAAGTAGCAAAGTGCAAACATACTGCAAGCACATTTATGATGATAACACACTAAGGATATGAAAAGGAACAATCCCGCAAGTAACACAAATATCTGCAAGTTAAAAAGCTCTGCATCATGGAAGTCCTTTAGACCACCAGGGGGAGACGATCAATAACCTGTATGAGACCAGACCAAAAACATTTCAAAGAATTAATGTCTAATGAGAAGACCCTTAGCTGAAAGCAAACAAAATGCTCCAAAGGACAAGTTTTCCTTTGAATATTTTTTTTTCTCCACTCTAGCTGTGATATTCCACCTTTTTCATAATTTTATTTATGAACTCTTGTCTTAATTAATCTCTGTACTTTAAATTTAAACAAGACGATGAACAAAAGGCATCAATTGAGAAAAGAAATACTTGTCTGGTTTCATCAACAATTTAACATAGATTCAGACTTTCCTCTCCTCAGACACCTCTTCCATATCTGCTGGTGCTGGTGTTCCCAAGCCAGCTGAGAGACATAATCCCTCCATCATCTCCTGGTTCTCCTCTCAATGTGGAGGAGAAGCGGCTCTACTCTGAGCCTCTCCTGAATGGCCAAGCTCCTCACCTCCAAAGGAGATACTGTAGGGTGTGGAGCTTGCAGAGCTGATTTTAGTCTCTTGTATGTGTAATCTAATTTTTTCAGTCATGATCCGGATTTTATGACCATAGGTGAGGGTAGGAACATAGACCGACTTATGAATCAAAAGCTTTGCCTTTTTGCTCAGCTCTCTCTTTGCCACAACAGACCAGTGGAGCAGCCACATCATTGCAGCACTGGTCTGTCTATTGATCTCCCTCTCCATCCTTCCCTGACTCGTGGACGGCCCAAAGATACTTGAACTCCCTCACTTGAGGAGAACTCTCCTCCAACTTAAAGTGGGCGAGCCACCTCTTTCTGGTCGAGAACCCTGGCCTCTGATTTAGACCTGATTTTCATCCCGCCTATTTCACACTTTTGCCCCAGTTCCTGCTGCAGGTCTTGGCAGGAGGAACAGATCTGCAAAATCAGGGATGAGATCCACTGTTGGAGGCCCCCCATATGGTACAAAGAGGGACCGGTCGAATGCCTTCCCACAAGTCCACAAAGCACATGTAACTCCCATTAACACTCTAGCACCCCTCACAGGGTGTAGAGTTGGTCCACAGCCGGGACGAAAAACCACACAGCTCCTTCTGAAGCTGAGGTTGAACAGTCAGCTAGACTCTCCTCTCCAGCACCCTGGCATTGGCCTTCCTGGGGAGGCTGAGAATTGTGATCCCCTATATTTGGAACATACCATCCAGTCCCCCTTCTTATGCATGAGAACCACCAGCCCGGTCTACCAATCCAGGGACAATGTCCCCAACCTCCACATGATGTTTAAGAGGTGAGCCAGTCCAACAATTTCTAGAGCTCTGAGTTACTCAGGGCGGATCTTATTCGTCCCGAAGCTTTGGCACCGGGGATTACTTTGGCCACCTAGGTGGCTTCAGACTGGATGTCGAGAGAATCCAGAGTAATTTGTGTTTTATATATCATTTTACTTTTGCTCAAAGGACTTTAAGCAAAAGAGTCTAGTGTCTGTATCAATGGTGTCGGTAATACTGGGTTTTTCTATGCGGGGTCTGTCGTATATGTATATTTCCTTTCAGTTTTCTAAATTGAAAGACATCAGTGTGGATCAAAAAGTTGTGGTTTCTAACGGATTATATGTTAAAAACCTTTACTTATGTGAAAAAAAAAAACGAACAAACTGGTGATTGTCTTTAAACAGGAGCTATTATTTTTGCTTGAAAATTCACTGTTTCTGTTTCCTTCAGCTTTCAGTTCCGCTACGACATTACCGGTTGGACACCGGTTGTTGGCTACATATCTGGTGAACCCCTCGAGTTGGAGCTTTCAGACGATGAAAGAATCATCCAGATCTCTGGAAAGTACGCTCACCACATTCAGTCGCTGATCTTTGTCACCAGTAAAGGCCGCTCCCTGCACGTCGGACAGCCCTCAGGCCACTCCTTCAACATTTATCCTTCCCACCCAGACGCCGAGCTGCGCTTCCTTAGCGGCTGGGTCAACGGGGCTCCCTCTTCCCTCCAGGCCCATTGGGCTGTCCTTGACTCTGACATAACTGATGATTAATGAGCAATGATGAAGAAAGAGGAAATAAACAGGTTCTCAATCCAAAAAGGGATATTTCTTCTGTTTTGATAAAGAATAATTTAAGAATCATAGACATTATTGTCATTCTTTGATTGAAGTTTGTACTAAAATCCAGTAAAATAACATTACCTTCTTATCTCTTCACAAATGGTTAGTTAATTCTTTGTCTGTCAACATTTTAATCCAGCAAAGATAACAAAGATTCAGTAAAAAGATATGTGGAAATCAAATTGTACAAGAAATATTCCTCTGTACTTCCTTTTTTCTCAAATAAATGATGCTGTGGAGGGTAAGGGAATAATTCCATCTATAAAAATTACTTATTGTTTAGTAAAGTTAGCAGTTTGTTTCTTTTTTTTGAATGTTACAAATCATGATTTGATTTAACCAAAACAGAATAAAATGTTAAATAAACTTTTAACATTTAATATTTGGGCCTCTTTTTCCATTTTTTTAAAGAGTTTACATGTATTTATTTTATATGAACACTTAAATGAAGAAAATAACTTGTTTTGTGATATCTTTTTGAATAGTTTGTCAGGTTCAATTATAGTATATTGCTAAAAACCGTACCTCTGGTAAAATAGAGTGCAGCAAGAAACATTAGCTTAGCCTAGCTGAAAGAGTCTCACTATCTATTATTGTTCTGATTTACACCCAATATAAAGAAACTGTGGATTATTGACATGAAGCCATGGCTTCCATCCCCCTCAGCAATTCAACAGGCTGATCATCTCCATCTCACTCTGCACTGATGCAGTCATTTATGCAATGATAGAGCATATCTTAAACAGTATACTATTCAGTATGTTAAATTTATGAGAAACTGAGATTCAGTTTTTTATTAGCTACAATCCACGTCTTTAAAATGCAATGAAATCAATTTTACAATCAATCACTGTCTTTTTCTTTGTGTTTTTCACAAACCACTCACTCAAAGTAATTTTTTTAAGTGATATTCAGTGACGTTTGAGAGAACAGCCTCTTTACTTTAATCACATTCACTTATTTTTGTTCGCTGCCTTTGTGCATTATCCTACTATTATTTTTGTAAAAGTCTTCCTGTAGAGGTTCCTGTAAGTCCAAAGATGCTGATTATGCAAGGGAGTAAAATGTGGCATGGCCAGTTAGACTAAAAAGAATTTTTTTTCTCCACGGTGTTGGATCCAAATCTGCGACTAAGAGGGAGAAGGAAGCTTTGTTGAGAAAAATAACTTAACCTTAAAAGGGAGTCAACATAAATAGAGTGAAACTGAATGTTAAAAAGTGTTGAGGGCAAAATGGCGACTGGACCAAAAAAAAAAAAAAAATTATAGATACAGAGAGAGGGCTGATAGGTAAATAAAGAGCAGATAGAAAACTAACTTTAAAAATCAGTTTATTGTAGAAAATACTGGAGCTGTCTGCTTTTGAAAATAGTCTTTGGGTTTTTTAATTTCCCCCTAAAGCATCAATAAAATTAATATATTATCTCTGGTCAATCGCTGCTGATTGAATGTTTCAGCCTGTTAAAAGGGACTTTTTTCTTTTCACTGTCAACACATGCTTACTCGGTATAAAGAACCTCTGCAAAGTGAATCACTCAAAGCAATCACTGTCAGTACATTGTAATCCTTAGAGGGACTGCTGTAAAATGGATGATTAATTGCTATTAGCTGTGTTTCCTTAGAAAGAAAACGTTTTAAACCATTTTATGAAATAATTTCTCAAAATTATTACTTGAGTGTAAGTAATTAGCTTTAGGTCTGCGCATGATTGAACAGAATAGTTGTACTGTTCGTTTTTCATGTTCTCAGATGTCATTTGTTATATATTGGCATCATATGTATAAACTAAATTCTTTGCTGTTGTACAAATAATCCACTGACAATATATTTGCTCAACAACATAATGTGTGCTGCTTGATGATTGCAAAGCCACTTTTTTTCACCAAGCAATATAACGCAGCTGAGCTTATTACAAATATATCTTTAAAAGCCGAAAATATGTTTTAGACAACAGCTGCTGTTGATGATATGTCTGTGTGTGGTGGCTAATGGAAAACTGACTGCAGCAGCAGGAATTGCTTTGCCTAACGATCCCCTTAAGGCTGCCGTCAACCTCACTGATTCATGTCTTTCTAGAATAAATTTACATTTCTCCTTCCTTTGTTATTGTTCAGTACAGCATCCTGTTACAACCAACTTCTTTAGATATTAGATTTCTTTCCCTCCTTGTGATTCTTGAAAGTCAGCAATCAACCCATTTTAGTCTTAAATATCCCATCCTTTTTAAGTTACATATATCTTTATATTTTCTATGAACACATAAGTTTCACTATTTGAATTTTTTTCCTAAAACAAACTCTATATAATATTGTTATATATTGAGTCCTGAAGTATTTGTTTCATGCATAAATCTACAGCTACTTCATTTATATGGTAGACATTGATTGCTCACCATTGGCAGCAATCTGCAATGTCATTTTAATACAAAACCTTTTGGTCACGTAAACATAGCTACTTTCCTCCAACATTATTTGATTAAATAAAATCTCAGGTGTGAGATTTGTGTTGACCATCATGTAAATCAATCCTGTGACCTGTAGATTACTCAAGCTGTCTCCTATGTGACCTCATATTTTGGCGCGTTGAAAATGACGTTGATGGCTTTTAAATCTGGACGTATAGAAGGAGGATAAGCTACTGTGTTGTGTGGTATTAATTTATACTGACACATTTTGTTCCTTTGACTCCTTCAGGTTTAAATTTTGTGTCGTTAAACTTAGTGGACAGCAGATGGGTTTAGAGAATACACTTCAATGCTGCAAGTGCACAACCCATGTGAACCAACAGCTCATTCTGTGTGTTACGACCTGGCTCGACTGGTCGCAACAAAAACTGGGGGGACACGGAAACAGGCAGTGCTTTAAGCCTGTAAAAGGCATTTATTTAGCAGAATCAAAGAATAAACTATGTGTTGGCATCAGACGGCAGCTCGGATGGGGCGATCACGCCTGGTCCCTCCACACCAGGAAGTCTGGACCCCAACCTGGTCTGGACTGGAAGGCTGTCTGCGGCGTGCTTGCTTCAACCAGGAGACGCGCCTCTCAAGCAGGGAACACCAACACTCCTAAATGGAACAGCGCTCCAACCAGGTGGCTGCATAATGGAAGCGCCTTCCACTTAGAGGACCTTAATTGATAGTGTTAGTTTAGGCAGTTTACACATCACCCGACAGCACAGTAGGGCCGTCACACTGTGCAACAAGAGAACCTAATTATTTCAGGAAAATTTATCTCTCATTAAATTAATTTAAATGAGTTCCTGAATATCTTTTTGAACATAAAGTCACAGCTGTTTTTGTTCATTTATACTTTGAGATCCCATTTTAAATTTTAAGATACCTGCTCTGGTAAGCACAATTAAATGGATTCATAAGTGAAGTTTCATTAAACATGTCGAATCAACAATATATGATTAGACAGATCAAACAGAGACAAGTTATTTTTGTATTCAGTAAATATATCTAAACAATATTACAAGGCAAGGCAAGGCAAATTTATTTATATAGCACAATTCAGTACAAAGACAATGCAAAGTGCTTTACATGATTAAAATATAGGAAAATAAAACAGAAACAGAGCAAGTAGAAGAAAAAATAAATAATAATTAAAAAATGCAGAAACAAGAAAGAACATTAAAAGCAGTTGGACTAAAGAAAAAAAATGAACTAATGATGTTTTAGTACACAGTATCACATGACATGAAAAGATAGTGTTAAATTAACTAAAGATGCTTAAATAGATCCAACAGCTGCTTCTTTAGTGAGCATCAATGTGATCCCAGGTCAGAAAGAAGCTGCATTTATATCAGAGTTTCGCTCTTTAAACCTTGCTCACAGCATTTATACCTATTTTGCAAGGTTATAACTTTCAAGCAGTTGAACTTCCAATACACCAACACTTTTAAGTCTCACCTGTTATAATTTCAGGCTCGCTGGTGTCCTCTCCTGGTGGATGAACTCTAAGCTGTTTTTTTTTTGTTTTTTGTTAACTGGTGCTTAACTTGTTACTTGTTCTGAGCCAGAAACAATTGACAACAGTATATGTAGCTAATTGTAGAATGTATATCCTATTAGAGCACTTTAAGAAGTAAACTTGTTACTGTTCCTTCAAACTTTTAAAGGGAAATTTCATACATTACGGGATGTGAGGCGACATACCTTCATACCTTCCTCTCATCAGATTGGCAGTAAGCCAGCTCTGACACTGGACAAACACTCTGCATATACCTGCCTGTGTCAACCAATGAGAGCCAGTAAATTACCATAGAAAAAAAAAGATGCAGATAGTGCTGAGATAAGTAGTATAAAGGCGCAGGAACCTGTTGAACATGTGAGATGAGGACACTACTGACTGAGGAAAGAGCTGCTCATAGAGGGGGCCGATTTAAAGCCATACCTTTTGTGTGGGACAATTTTTAAGCATTTGTAAGTATGTTCATTTGCACTTATTGTTTATGGAGAGGTTTTTTATGAACCAAATGTGATCATTTTAAGATATTAAAGTGTGGTATCTGTTTCTTTCAGTTTCTTCCATCTACCAGACAGGTTAGAATAATTCCCCATTAATGTTTTTAGTTCATGCAATAATATATTAGGCGTACATAAAGTAAAGGAATAAGTTTGAGCTTATTGTTTAATTGCTTCACAGAATGCATTACATCGCCATATTTGCACTGCTGGTTGCTTGTGTTTTTGCAGAGGGTAAGAGTTCACTTTACATGTTTTATAGAGCTCTTCTGAAATATACAGCTATTTATTTATAAATCTCCTGTGTTTTCAGAGTCCCATTACTCGTTTTCACCATCTGTTGGATCAGGAAGTGGCACCTCATACAGTATAACTGGTGAGGGAAGAATCACAGCTATCAGAGTCTGGGAGCTCTATGGCAACCACATCTACGGGTAATTTTTTATTTTATTTACATTACAACGCCTGCTAAACTACCAATTCAAAGGCATCTGGAGCTACAAAATAAAGTTTCCATCAAATAAAAGCATAACTGAAAGTTTTTTTTGCGAACTAGAATTACAAAAGTTTATTTTTTTACTCATATTTATCTAATTAGTTTGATGGAAATTTCCCAAAATAACATATATTTCTTAATAAATATATACTAGAATGCTAAATTTAGCATTTGTTTTTAAATTTACTTATGAAAACATTAGTCGGGTCTTAATAATATTTAGCCTAAGACATTAAGAGCAACCATGTCCAAAGAGCAACTAGTGTGCTAGATCCCTGCCATATTAGTATATTAAAACTTTTCCTATATACTTTAATAATTTCTGTATGTA